ACAGCTACATGTAAAATAAAAGATGAGCTACAGCACATTTTAGGTTTGGTAAAAAAACAAAAAAATTCTTCTATGCTTATAAAAAGTGGTACCATTTAAAAAAAAAAAAAAAAAAACCATGTTATGAAGCCTCATGCCTGGATCAATACCATAGCATGGATAAAAGGCTTCTCTCATCAGAATTTGAAGCGGTGTTGGAGCAAAATCCTTTTATGCTCTTTCTAAAATTTTAAATTGGACAACAATTTTACAAGATAAGCATAATCACAATGTCAGTTTGAATAATCAGTAATGTACAGACTAAATATCAAGAAGGACACAATGCCCTCAGGCATTAAAGATACTGTGCTTTTATAAAGTCTACCCATCACCACTTGCAAAAGCCATGCATATGCTTTACAAAGAGGTCTTATTATATGATTTATTTTATACATCATATCATATTACATCAAGCTATTTAATTATTGTTTTATTTTTCTCTGAGTTCTACTTATAATGTTAGATTAGCTTTTTGTGTCATAATGTAGTTTTAAATATTCTTTTTCCACCTTCTGTCTGACCCTTATTTGCAGTACAGGCTGTTTTTTTCTCTCTCTCCTGATTAACTTGTGCATAAGCAGCCTTCATAAATTGCAAGATTTCAAACCACAAAGCATATAGCTTTGGACCAGGTTTGCATTGAATTATTTTTTTTATTGTTTAGACTAAAAAATGAATCAGAAACCACAGAGTTTGACTCATCTCTTTCTTTTGTTATGTGTATATGTCAAGTTTACTCACAGCAACATAAAGAGCCGCATAAACACTGATGGCCGCCTCTTTGGATGGGAAGGATTTGCGAGCGTGTAAGATATCATCCTCGTTGCCTGTGCATGCTTCCTGTTGGTTGATGAAACGCACCACCTGTTGGCACCCCAGCGCAGTGTAGTTGGGTTTGCACACCGTCAGGAAGTATGGAGACAGATTTCCCGTAACCACCTGCCCGGCATTTACAAAGATATCTGTGGCAAAGAGGCCAAATGCGTACACACCTGGAGGAACACAAAGACACAAATCTAGGATTTCAGTCTTACATATGGAATTGAGATTTTAATATTTAGACGATTAAGAATTTAAGATTTTATGTTTTTGAAGTCCTATATGCTCATCAAGGCTGCATTTATTTGATCGAAAATACAGTAAACACAGCAATATTGTGAAATATTATGACCATTCAAAATAACTCTTTTCTATTTTAATATATTTCAGAATGTATTTCATTCTTCTGAGGGCAAAGCAGAATTTTCAGCAGCCATTACTCCAGTCTTCAGTGTCACATGATCCTTCAGAAATCATTCTAATATGCTGATTTGGTGCTCAAGAAACATGTTTTATTATTATCAGTATTGAAAACAGTTGTGCTGCTTAATATTTTTGTGGGAATCGTGATACACTTTTTTTCTGGATTCTTTTTCAGGATGAAAAGAAAGTTTAAAAAAACAGGAATTATATGAAATATAAATATTTTGTAACATTATAAATGTCACTTTTGTATATAATGTGTCATACTGACCTCAAATTTTTTGAACGGTATGTTTGCATACTGGTCAAGTGGGATGATTAATTGCACATCATTTTCTTCATAATTAATGTAATGCCTATTCTTTAAAAAAAAGGAAACTAATCCTGAAAACCTCAGTGATGCCAAACTGTAATCACATCATGGAAAATGACAGCACATTCAGTGCCGGGTGAGTCTACATCTTTTTTACAACCAGAATATTAGGCATGAAAGCAGAATGGGACTCAAATCTTAATGTAAGCGTGGGCAGCTTTGTCACATTGAACGTTTTCTATGAGCGGAGCTTGGAGAAGCAGTCGAGTTAAACTAGTTTACAATGAGCGGTACCGCTGTCAGTTTACTCACATAGCTCCTCCATCGGCCCCCACATTAACAAACTTATTCATTATGCTCCAGAGGACTCAATTTTTAACCATCAATATAATGTGGCACAGCACTGAATTTCGGCCGAGATGTTCTCACGACAAAATTCAAGTGTAGTCATATGGTTCGTAAAACTACATGATTGCATGCTTACATAGGAAGTGAGAGGAGCAGCATAACAGACAAGACAGTAATTTACTGTGCTGGAATAACGCAAAAACTATACAACATCGCTCTAACACATACTGCATTAGTACAATTACAGTGTTTGTTTCAGGATGAACCCATTAAGGGTTCATGCTAAGGATGCTGGTTTTTTTTTTTAATTCATCTTTTTGTGGGTTAGGCTATTGCTAATATTGCTTCGCCACTGCAATTCAGACAAGTGAATCAGTTCTTTAACATGTATAACACAATGTAACAAAGAATTGTTTCACTTGTTAATTAAGTGTTAATCATTATTGCACTGTTTATTTTTACGTAGCATCGATATTTTGGTAAATATTTAGGTCAGGTAAATTTGAGAACTTCTGTCATTAGTTATGAAACATTGGATTAGTACAGACAAGTTTTTGTACTGATTTTTTTTTTTTAAGATATTATGCTTTTGCAAGGATGGGAACATTCTGTAAGTTTCTGTAACATTTTGGAATATTCTCTAATGTTCTAGTGCTTTCTGGAACATTTCAGAACATTGTGGGACTAGTCATAAAAGACAAAAATCCAGTGTACACTTCTGAACTCACTTTTGGTAACTGTTTATGTTATACTATTGTTGTTAGCTAGTATTATACATGTACCATGTAATTTGTATGCATGAGTAATAACAGATTAGCTTGTATAAGTTGTCAACATATATATATATATATATATATATATATTTATGTTTTCTGACTTGTTATATTGTTTTTTGAATTGTTGTTGTGCTTTCTGATTTGTTATTTTGTTTTTTAGACTTGCATTTGCGTTTGTAATTTGTTATTTTGTTTTCAGAATTGTGATTTGCTTTGCACTTCACGGCCACCGTAGTTTAGTCTGTAATTGTAAGTTATATAAAGATCAGACCACATTTTAATGCAAAAATCAAGATATTTTCAAACTTATTCTTGCCACTCTGTCTGTCTGTCTGTCTGTCTGTGTGTGTGTGTGTGTGTGTGTGTGTGTGTGT